CCCCATCAGGGGCCCGGCCCGCGCCCGCCACCGACATCCTGCGCACGCTCGGGAAGAGCCCTAATTGCAGGGGAAGGAAGGCCGGGAGGCTGCGGGCGGAGGCGGACGCCACTGCCCTGGCGGGGCCCTGGCTCTGTCACCCCCATCCCAGTTCCCTCCCGCGCGGCTGCTCCGGCACCGAAGGGAAGCGTCGGAGCCGATCCCTGCCAGCAGCTGCCTGCGCCAGGCTCCAAATTTAAACAAGTTCCCGATGCAGCCAGGGGAATATTACACCCGGCTACTAGGGTTTCGGGAGCCGCAGCATCCCCGGCACAGAGCCCCACGAGCTGCACGCGCTGCTGGCGGGGGGACAGGGAGGCGCCGGGGGGGACACGGGCTGCTGGCAAGGCCACCGTCCCCCGCGTAGAGCCAGCAGGGAGGCTGCGTGCAGCAGCGCCCGGACACCTTCCAGCCCGCCTCATGGCAGCGTTATAATTAACCTCCTCACATCCTGCACTGAGTCACTCCCCGCACAAACTGGAGCAAATAGAGAAGCTTTTTCAACAGTCACCAACTTCCTGCACCAGCAAGTCTCGAGCTGCCTCCGCTGGAGGCCCAGAAAGGCCGGGTCGAGGCTGCAAAAGCTGAAATGCAGCAGCTTGGTTGGATGCAGCCCCCAGGTGCCGTCATGGGCAGCGGTGACACTCGCTTATCGCACGAGCCGCCTTGCAGCCTCTTCCGGCCACCCCACGGCGCCCGCTGGGCACAAGGAGCCCGTTGACCGATGCTGTTTACGGAGCGCCGGGCTGCCTGGCCTGAGCAGCGTTCCCCTGGCGTCTATTTAAAGGTAAACCCAGAGTCCCCGAACACGTTTCCCCAGGCAGCCCAGGTTCAAAGAGCTGATTCTTGTTCGGCGAGTCTCGGGACACGGGTATTTTCCAGGCTAGTAGCCAGACGATTGCCTAGGTGGGTGGTGCATCTGCCTTCAAAGGCCAACATTGCTTAAAATGGGCTTAGAGCAGCTCCGCCGGGACGGTCCCGGCACCCGCAGCTGGTTCCGTGTCCCACTGCCTGCCCCACATGAGCCCGAGCAGCTCGTTGCACAAGCAGCCCCGTCACGGCAGCTCCCGGGAGCAGGTTTGCGAAATCCCGTGAGGAGGAATGCGGAGGGCGCAGGGAACGGGCAAGGCCGCACCCGGAGCCGGCTGGCGGCCGCCGCGCAGCCCTGGCCTTCGGTGATAAAACTTGCAAAACAGCCGCCGCTCCGGCCTCGGGAGGCAGTTTCACCCCGACGGGTCCCACGTGCTCGGACGCTGCGGGTGCCGGGGCAAAGGACCCGGTGCAGCGGATCTGCACAACCCCATGCCTGGCAGCTCAGCACCACGTCAGGGCTCCCTTGCTGCCCCTTCCCCGGGCTCAGGAATGGGAGGACAGCAGAGATTCCCGCAGCAGCCGCCCCGCTATCCCGGCACGCTGCGGCGCTGGCCCGACGCGCTCGGCGCTGCGGAGCCGGGTGTCACGCTCGGTGGCTCCGCGCGGGCGGCCGCCTTCCCACGGGCCGCACTGATTCAGCCGCTTCCTGACCGCGGCAGCGCCGGCACCCCCGGCCACTTCCTCACTGCAGCGGGGGGAGCCACTCACCCACGGGTGGCCTTAGCACCCACCAACACCCCCGCTTTGGGGCACCCCACAAAGCGCAGCCAGGCTCCCAGGGGTGTCCCCAGCACATGCAGCACGGGGGTGCTCAAACGCTTCCCACCTCCCAAAGCACTAGAGCAAGCGGGGGACCCAAAAACACCCCGTAAACGGGGTGGGCGCCCGCAGCCCCGCCGCGGGCAGCGCTCCGGGCCGATACCAAGTAGCGGCGGGCGGATACAAAGTGTCTCGGGGAGGGGGTCCCGGAGGAGGAGGGGGGTCCCGGCACTCACCGGCCAGCAGGGCCAGCGGCAAGAAGCAGCCGTAAAGGGCCGGGCCAG